TGCAATTGTTTGCCCGGTAGTTTGGTTGAACAGATTGCCCAAACTGAGAGGCAAGTCTGGGGTGGCCTGTGCAATGTCTGCTAAACCTCGTAATAAATTTCCCCATGGAGCCCCACAATGGAGGTGCAACGGGACAGAAAGCCCCGCGCACCATGGGCTTTGCAGCTGTTACAGGACAGCTCAGCCACCTTTGGTCAGCACAGCCTTGCTTCTGGAAAGGAGATTCTTGCCTGCCCTGGGCAGGGAGTGAGTTCAGATAAAGACCTTGGTGAAGTGAGGCCTTCACCTTGTTCACTTTCTCATTGAGTTATGCAACCCAGAGCCTACCAGATTGCAGGTTTCTGTGGACTGTGTCATCCCTATTTACCTTTTTCTGTAGCTCCAGGTCCTTCCTGATACACATAGTAGATGCTCAATAAATGTATGCTGACTGAATGAAGGAATATGCAATTTTCACAATAGTTCATCTGAAATTAGGCTCCCTTGGCCATCCACACCTTCTAGGGCTTCCCACATGCCTCCCACTGTTTATATGTGAGCGTTCAAAGTCCATAGGCTCTTGTCACCATTGCCCTCAACACAACAGAGTTAGAAAGGCAAGACAAGGCTCAAGGTCACAGGTGTGGCTTTCAGAGGCAAAGAAGAAAGGTTAAGAGCAGAGGTTCTCCAATTTCAGCAGGAACTCCAGTCACCTGTGAAGAGTGTTAAAAATGTAGATTCCAGTCACCTGTGAAGAGTGTTAAAAATGTAGATTCCAGCCAGGCACAGTGGCTCACACCTGTAATCCCAGCACTTTGGGAGGCCAAGCCGGGCGGATCACTTGAGGTCAGGAGTTCAAGACCAGCCTGGCCAACATGGTGAAACCCTGTCTGTATTTAAAAAAAGTACAAAAATTAGCCAGGTGTGGTGGCAGGCACCTGTAATCCCAGCTACTCAGGAGGCCAAGACAGGAGAATCACTTGAATCCGGGAGGTGGAGGTTGCAGTGAGCTGATCATGCCACTGCACTCCAGCCTGGGCGACAGAGCGAGAATCCATCTCAAAAAAAAAAAAAAAAAAGGCAGATTCCCAGGGTCTCAGCCCAGACCTGCTGAATAAGCCTCTGTAGGTGGGACCCCAGCACCTGCATTTTAACATACTCCCCAGAGACTTTGGTGCCTGGTAGGTTAGGTTCCACCCCTCATGACCTACTTCTGTCCTGCAACCACCCTTTGTTAGCATAAAACAGCAAGGGGTGTGTTCGTTCACCCTTTAGTGCAACACACATTGACAAAGGTTTCACCTCTCACCAGCACTGTGTTGAGTGCAGAGGCTGCAGAAGAAAATGAGACATATCACCAGCCCCCAGTGAGCTCGCCTACAGCCTGGAGGAGGGGCAGACAAACCAGGAGGCGGTGTATTTTCCAGTGGTTCTGTGAGGTGCTGCGGGGATCAGAGGAGAAATCTGGCCCCATGATCATCCCTGCTGGCACCTGAAGGCTGAGAAGGAAAGAGCCAGGAAAACCTCAGTATGATTGGGACACAGAATTCCAGGCAGAGTGTGGAAGAGATAGACTTGAGGGTGTCAAGTGCAGAATCTGGCCTTCCATCCTGGGGACAATGATGACAGGAATGCAATGTGTGAAATCCACACTTCACAGTTAAACTCTGAAGCGATGGGCGTGGAGTGCCCACAGGGTGTGAATAAGAGGTGAGGTGCCCTGGAAACACCATCCATTCTTGAGAACCCAGGTGACTGTCTCCCATCTGAAAAGAGTCTGCAATAAAATAGTCTTTACAGTTATTCAGAGTTTGCCCTGATCCTGCCAACCTCCGTACTTGATTTAAAATCTTTCCAACTGGAATTATTAGTCCAGAGCAGTTTATCAAAGAAAAGATGGATGGTGCAAGCCGACTGCTGCTGGCATTCAGAAAAACATGTTCTAACTCTGCCATTCAGCAAAAGTTCTTTAATCACGGTTGATTGGAGGTTACCAACCTTGAATTATTAGTTAATGGCATCTCTGCAAAGGAATGATTTATTGGGTGAGTAAACTTTGCAAACAAACACAGATCCTACATTGCTGGCTATTTCATTGGAAGCTGAAATGTGCATTATTTCAACTATCTGTCTTTCTAGTGGAATCAAAATCCGAAGCAGAGGCTAATATTTAGCCTTCATCTCAGATTTCTCTGCCATCGAGATGTTAAGAATACAGAAAGCCAAGGCACAGAAGAACCCCCAGAGTCGTTCTGTTTGCAGGGTTCACCTGTGTTCACAGGCTCCCTTGCAGCTGGCACCCCACCTGGGGGCAGCCTCCCTGTTGAGGATCACCATCGGGAGGGGAGCCTGTGGTCAATGGCTGTACCTCCGTCACCTTTCACCAGGACCCTATCCTGAAACACCAGCCAGGGCCAGTACCACTCACTGCTGGAGGATCCCTGCTCTGCCACCTCTCCTTGGTTCATTTGCTCTCAAGCAAATGACTTTGGAACCAAGAAAGGAATGTGCTCTATTTGTCAATTGTCAGGCAGGGGATACATCTTCCCTTTCTTCCCTTGAAGAGGGACTGGTTCAGCCTCAAACCCTCTGAAGGGCAAGATCGGGGGAAGCAGGAATGCTGGGGCTTCCTCCCCCCCCTCCCCAGCCGTGTGAGTCACGGGTGCACCAGGCTCTTTCCTGCTGTCCCTCCACTGGGCCACTGCTCCCTCCAGTTCGCTGTTCATACTCACAGGCAGCTCGGGCATTTGTGGGGTTTCCCCAACCCCCAGACTACGTCAGATCCCTGGGGATACACTCTCCTGATGCACAAACCTTTTGTGTAGCACTGAATATAGTTATGATTGCATTTTTGTGTGTAATGATTAGATTAATTTCCATCTCACCTCTGGGAGGCTCATTGTTTTTTCTCCCTTCAGCACCCCTGGTGCCCAGTGTTGGAGCTGTGGTTGGTAACTAAGAATGACCAGTGGTTAGAATCACTTGAGAGAGCAAGAAAGCCCAGGGAGGTGGCAGGTGGAGAGCAACCTTTCCGCTTCATTACCCAGAGGAGGAGGCTGACTCGGGCATGTAGCTCATAGGCTGGCCAGCCCTTGCTGCTCCCTATGCCACCTGCAGCCAAGTCCCTGGGCAGCTCAGCGTCCTCAGTTCTTTGTTAACAACTCTGGAGGAGGTAAGCAGAGCACCAGCAGCCAGGGGGAGATAGAGCAAAATCTCTGCCATGAGGGCAAGGGGACCAGAGCCCACATGTGACCTGCAGTAGTAGACAAGGCTTCCTGTGCGAGGACCATCGGGGCGGCCAGGAAGGCTGGTGGAGTTTCTATAGGTAGGGGTGGGGACAGGATTCCAGGACGAGAGCACAGAGTAAGCAAAAGCCTGGAGGGAGGCCCAAGATGGTGTCTGGGGTAAAGACCTGTAGCTGGGGTTTCGGGCTTCAGGCAGAGAAGGCAGGCTCATGGTTCGGAGGCCATTGAATGGAAATTCTCAGGCACTGGTGAGCCACTGATGGGTTCTGATCCAGGGAATGGTTGGCAGGGGATCTTCTGGGGATGTTTGTACCCAATAGATCAGAGACACTGAAGCAGAGAGATTTGTCCAGAGGCCGGGGGAAAGGTGGCAATGGGGACAAGACAGAGCTTGGGGAGGTGATGCGTGTCCAACATGACTTCACAGGTTAAAGGTTAAGCAGGTGGAAAACAGAGGTGACAGTGACCAGGATGAGAGATGGGCTATCAACACACCACACATGAAACACATGGCCAGGTCAGGCTGCTGTGTTCCAGGGTCAAGTCTGGTTTGGTGAAGGAAGGTACAGAAGTTTCTTATCACCTCCTTTTCTCACCATTCAGAAATCAGTCTCCTCTTAAAGCCATAAATAAGAGTAATATATTTGACGCCTTTTTTTTTTTTTTTTTTTTTAGTTTTTGCATGGAAAAAGATACCAAAAACCAAAGGACAAACTGAAAAAAAAAGATAATATATATAACAAACAGAGCTAATATCCTCACATACTGTATTAGCCTATTTGCACACTGCTATAAAGAACTTCCCTGAGACTGGGTAATTTATAAACAAAAGAGGTTTCATTGATTCACAGTCTGCATGGCTGGGGAGGCCTCGGGAAACTCAGAATCATTGCAAAAGGGGAAGCAAACGTACCCTTCTTCAAAAGGTGGCAGGAGAGAGAGAAGAGAAAGTGAAGCAGGAAAGAGCCCCAAATAAAACCACCAGGTTTCCTGAGAACTCACTCACTGTCACAAGAACAGTGGAGGAACCACCCCCCATGATCCAATCACCTCCCTCCCTCAACACCTGGGATTGCAATTTGAGATGAGATTTGGGTGAGGACGCAGAGCCAAACCATACCACATACCAAGCATTCTTACAAATGAATAAAAAAGACCACAAATCCATCAGAAAAAAAAAACAAACCAGAAACGGGTAAATGACAAAAACGGGCAGTTCACAGGAAAATAAGTGGCTTGTAAACATAATTTCATCTGTTCCAGCTTCATTTATAATGAAAGTTATGGAGGTTAAGACTAAAATTACAAACGCTTTTTAAGTTATTTTACTTAGGCTGGTAAATATTTAAAAACTGATAATACACACTATTGGTGAGAATGTTGGAAAACAATTTGTCAATAGGTATTAATATTTTAAACGTATGTTCCCATTCCTCTAGGAATTTAACTGCTAGGACTATATCCTAAGAATATGTTCATGCATGCATAGAAAAAAGGGTAAATTAGAATGTTCTCAGCAGGACTGTTTGTTGTAGCAAAAAGCCAGAAATCGCCTGAATATTCTCAGCAGAAAACTGCTTAAGTTATAACACAATCATACAAACAATGACATGAAACTTCTAAAATGCACAATAACTATACATACGTTGATAGGGCAGGATCTCTTAGGTGGATTGTTAGGTGAATAAGTTAAGGTGTGGTTCAGTTTACACACTGGTATTAAAAATCTTTAATGATATGCATTTCTATTTAGAACACACTATGAACCATAATCACCTCTGCGAAGGAGAACCAAAGAGCTCGGATCTGGGACGGGAAGGAGTCCAACTTGGAGCTGTTAGAGCTTTGATCCTGTCCGTGTCAGGCCTTCTGAGCCACTAGCCTTCCCCATCTGTGTTGGAGTCTCCACGTCAGGTTAAAGCCCACTGCTGTTGTTTGTGGTGTTCAGTCACCAACCCATCCATCTCTCAGACTGGCTCTTTCAGAAAGTAAAACAGACAGGGCCTTGGCTCCAGTCTCTGACAATGTCAGGAAAACTTGCTGAAAGTGGCCTTTCATTTGAGCCTGAAGACTAAAGGAGAACTGGCAGAAACACCCATCTGAAGGCAGCTGGGAGCTGGCTGACCTTTGCAGCTGGTGGGGGCCCTGGCACCCCCACCGCTGTCAGCTCTCCCCGGGCTGCCTCTGGAAAGCACTCTCCTAAATGCAATCTCTAGGCCCCTGACCAAGGTATTTTTAGCCACCCTCCGTGGTGGCCACGGCTCTGAGGCTCTGAGCAGAGACTTCAAGGGCAGGGCCAGGGAACATTCCTGAACTCTGGGTCTCTGCTCGGGGCCTGGCTTGTTTCCAAGGCTAATTTAGAACTTTCCTGGCTACCTTTGTGACCTTTTGCCTCGTGACCCTTCCTCCCGAGCACAAGCTCTGGCCCCTGACCGTCCTCTGGCCCCACAGTTCCTGACGTGGCACACCGTCCTCTGGCCCCACAGTTCCTGACGTGGCACACCGTCCTCTGGCCCCACAGTTCCTGACGTGGCACACCGTCTTCTGGCCCCACAGTTCCTGACGTGGCACACCATCTTTTCATGGCGAGCAGTGGCAGAACGACATTGCCTTCCCTTGGAACAATGTGGCTTTATGGACAAATGGAGCTGGTGACACTCTGTCTTGAAGAGCAGCACTTCTAAGCTGGAATGCAGGGAGACACTCTGTCCCAGGGTTCCTGAAACTTCAGCTCCCTAGGCTTCCCACCTTTGCTATATTGACGGTTCCCGGTTTTCCCCGTGCTGCCACCTGCACTGATTTACCCTCTTCACCTTTACATTCACTTTAGTTGCATCCTGAAACAGAGGATATATGATATCATGGGTTTAACATGCTAGTTGCTTTTTTAATGCATTAAAGGAAATTCTATTAGAATTTATAGAAAGGAAAAAAGAGAAAAAGTAATTCTTCCGTGCATATGGGATAAGCAGTGACCAGGCCAGTGGTGAGAAACACAGTGAACTGCCATCCACAGTTTGCAGAGGAAAAGTATTTTATGACCAGGCCTTTGCACATTATTTCTTCTTCATGATCTCACACACACACACACACACACACACATCTTGTCTACCTGGATAAATGCCATCTCCTCCAGGAAGCCATTTCCAAGGCCCTCGCCACCAACAGTAAGCCCATGCCCCTCCACTGTACTCAGCCTGAGACAGCCCTGCAGTTGTGACCACCTGCCCATTCTCCTCTGCAGTCTCCTGGAAAACATGGCTTTTTGTTAAGGGGTGATGGGGAATGTGCACTCTGGACTCGAACCCCACCTCATTCATTTTTCAGCTGTGTAACCTTAAACAAGTGGCTCTTTTGCTTTCTCCCAGCCTTGTTTTCCTCGTCTGCAAAATGGGGTGATAACAGAAAGTGAGAATTAAATAACGTAGGCAAAATGGTAACACAGGCTGAGCATTCACTAAGCACTTGATAAATATTTGCCACGTGCATGCATGTGTGAAGGAGGGCAGCCGGTGTACACGAAGGAGGTTGAACCCACAGCTTCAGATCCACCAAAAATCGTATTACAAACACAAGTTCCCGGGGCAGTGGTGGTGGTAAGAGTAATAGCAATGACTACTCAAAAAAACCTATAAGGGGGGTTTACTATTTTCCCTATTTTACAGACAAAGCAATAAGGACTCAAAGTGTTGAATACAGTTAATCAAGCTCACACAAGGTGAATAATAGAGCCGGTATTTAGCCCTGGCTTCCTCCCAAACCAAAGCCAATGCTCTAAATGCTCATGTCATGTGTCTTCCATACACTGTTTTTTGATCCTCTATGAGACACTAGGATTGGAAATGTGATTCTTGTGTTAGGCCCACATTCAAATTCTTCATAATTCCATCATCTAAATCAGTTTTGAGTTTCATTTCTGACTAACAACAGTACAAATCCATCTTACGTTGGTAGAGGAACCATATGCATCCAGTACATGCGTTCATTCTCATCTCCTCATCTCCCTTGCAAATAGATCATGGTCACGGGACTGGTTCTGGCCAATAGAATTTAACAGCCACTGTGCTTTCTTCGTCTTTTCCCCTGCCACAGCCAACCTACAGGCCCAAATTGTGCACTTACTGGACTTTGCCTGAATGAGAAATAAACCTTCATTGGGTTAAAAGCCTTGGTGGATTTGCCTGCTTCAGCTGCCAGCGTTGATTTCTCCGACTAATACACAGATGAATTTCACGGTGAGTTTCTCACTCAACTTCCCCCACACATTGCAAAGCTTGGGCTTTATGCTATCATTTTAATATGATAGTTATTGAATTATAATACTGTTAGATTATGATTTTTCTTTACTATTCTTAGCCTGTTTGGCTTTTGAGAAACAGCTTGGTGTCATTTCATATTAAAAACTGACTTAAAGAAAGAGGCAGGCCTTCCAAGCAGTGTCACCTGTGTCGTGAAAGCTAATAGAAGCAGACAGCTGCCTGTTGGGGTCTTGATTTACACATTGCATGACAGATGAAGTCCATAGGCTTCCAAAGTAGGAGGATGAAAGCTTTAACCCACAAAACCAGAAACTGGGAAAGCGAAGACAGTGGCCATCACCCAGCTCCATGATCAACTCCTGAGAGGCTGTGAGCCAGCGTGGGAAGAATACAGCCCGCTCACTTTCGGCCACCTCAACTCTTTCCCAGACTCTCTATAAAGAACCTTCCACATTACACAAAGTCAATCAGCAAAATACAACACAATAACATCAACTGCTCTGGAAATTACAAGCAGAATGCTGTGAAGATCATACTCCTTTCATGTAAAGAACCTGAGGACATTTTTACAAATAATTAATTAAATTGATTTAATTCTCAAGGATTAACTTGAGATGCCTGAATTCATAACTGAATCTTTTTTAAAAGGAGAAATCTAGTACATGCAAAAATACAGAGACTTAAACCTTCCTTAAGGTCACAAAGAACTTTCTTGAAAGAGGGTGTTCTGGCCAAAGCCCCGTGTTTCCGTTTCCCAGGCTGTGTTAGTCTCCGTGGCACCATCTCCTTGTAAATGCCTTGCGGCAGTCCTCGCCCAGCTGTGGCTCTTCCCTGGGGGATGATGCAGCCCCTGCTGAGGCTGAAGTGATTTCTCACTTTAGACTACACAAAGCAGGTGAGCAGTGCTCATGAGAAGGTTCTCCTGGAAAGCTGGACTTCCAGTTAGTCCTCACTGCTACATTCCCACCAGCGCCGTGACAGGTTACAAATGCCATGGCAACATCAGGAAGTTATCCTACATGGCCTAAAAAGGGGAGGCATGAATAATCCACCCCTTGTTTAACATATCATCAAGAAATAACCATAAAAATGGAAAACCAGCAGCCCTCGGGGCTGCTCTGCCTATGGAGCAGCCATTCTTTTATTCCTTTACTTTCTTAAGAAACTCTCTTTCACTTTGAAAAAAGAAAACCTTTTGAAGGAAATGTTTTCACTCGGGCTGGTTTCCAAAAACTTGAATCAAGCACAAAAGTGAATTCACTGGTGCAGGTAGTTGTCCAAGGGGAGTCACGGCTTCTTAACCAGGTGCAAGACTTAAGCAATGTCATTAGAACCCACCCCCTCCCTCTCAACTCACTTCCAGGCTGCCCACATCTGGTGGCCCCCAGCCACTCTGCCTCTTCCCTTCATGTTCTCAAGTGGCTGCAACTGCCCCTGCACTTACAGCCTCTCAGCTTCAAAGTCCATCCAAGGAGTGGGAAAGAGCCTGGGCCGCACTATCACTGGCTCAGTTTGGGTAACATGCACATCTCTGAACTAGCCATCGTGGCCAAGGGGATGGGCTACATTCACTAGCTAAAATCTTCAAGGATCTGCCTCTGGAACTCACAGAAACAGAGGACGAAGAGATGGGGAACTGCCCAAAGGAAGTTCAGGTGTTTTCCTAGAAGAAGGTAAAGAAGCTGGGAAAATAATAAAACAAAGAAAACCAGATACTTAAAGCACCAACAGACCAAAGTTTCTCTGCTGTGATTGACTTCAAATCACCCTGATGTCCCCGGAATGCTGAGGCTCTGGAGAGCTCAGGTGGAAAACCCACCAGTCAAAATGAATTCCCAATTTTTCAAATAGACACTGAGGCCCGACTGGGGATGTCACCCAGTAAAAAGGTAGCAGAGCTCCACAAAACTTGATTCTGGTGATGGTATACTATCACGTCGGATTGTAGATGTTCAATATGTGTCTTTGTTATATTAACATATCGGTTATACCTCAATAAAACCAGGGGATTGTGGGGGGAAGGTGGCAGAAAGGATTCCCTGTTCAATTTCTCTTTCCCTTCCTTGTTTTTCAACCTCAGTGAAGACTGAATCTCTTGTCTCTCAGTGACCATGTGTTCCTTTGCTTTTGTGTATTATTTATTTATTTTTGATGGTAAGGACATTTAACATGAGACCTACACTCTTAACAAATGTTTAAGTGCACACATACATACCATGGAATACTATGCAGTCATAAAAAAGAATGAGTTCATATCCTTTGCAGTGACATGGATGAAGCTGGAAACCATCATTCTAAGCAAACTAACACAGGAACAGAAAACCAAGCACTGTATGTTCTCACTCATAAGTGGGAGTTGGACAATGAGAGCACACGGACACAGGGAGGGGAACATCACACACTGGGGCCTGTTGGGGGGTGGGGGGCAAGGGGAAAGAGGGCATTAGGACAAATACCTAATGCATGTGGGGCTTAAAACCTAGATGACAGGTTGATAGGTGCAGCAAGCCACCATGGCACACGTATACCTAGGTACCAAACCTGCACGTTCTGCACATGTATCCCAGAACTTAAAGTAAAAAAGAAAAAAGAAATGTTGAAGTGCATTGTTGACTGTGGGTGCTGCGTTGTTGACTGTAGGTGCTACGTTGTGCAGCAGACCTAGAGGACTGATTCCTCTTTTGTAACTGTAACTTTATGCCCATTGACCAACAGATCCCCATCTTCCCATCCCCTAGCTCCTGGAAACTACCATTCTATCTTCATCTGACTCTTTTCGATCACTCACATGGGTGAAACCTTCCAATCCTCATCCTTCTGTGTGCCACTTATTTCACTTAATAGAACGTCTTCCAGACCTATCCATGTTGTTGCAAAGAGTAGGATTTCCTCCTTTTGGAAGGCTGAATAATAGCATCCCCTTGTGTGTCTATATCACGTCTCTCTACTTGTTCATTTATCTGTGGACATTGAGGTTATTTCCATAGCGTGGAGACCGTGAATAACGCTGCAGCGAACGTGAGAATGCAGATACCTGTTTGAGATCCGGATTTCCATTCTTTGAATATATCCTCAGAAATGGGATTGTTGAATCCTACGGTAGTTCCATTTTTAATTCTTTAAGGAACATCCATATTATTTGTTGTAGCAGCAGTACCATTTTACATTCCAATCAGCAGTGTACCAGGGTTCAAATGTCTCCACAACCTCACCTGCCATGTCAGCCTAAGACACGCTATCCTCACAGGCCAAGCTGTAGCCTCCCGATCAGCCCTGCCTCCCAGCTGTTGCCCATGCTGTGCCCCTCTGAATGTCTCCTGCCTGTGAACTCCCTGCTCAGCATTTTGAATCATCTCTTTCTGCAAGCTCTTCTCTCCCCCTCCACTGCCCCCTCTGCATCACAGGGACTGGCATGTAAATGCTTTTTTATTTGGATTGCCTCTCGCTAAATCAATAAACATAGGGCGCCTACTACATGTCAGGCCCTGGGGATTCAGCCATAACCAGTTCCTTCCCTCAAGGAGCCTGCAGTCCCAGCGGGGAAGACGGGCTTTTAAAAATGTGGCAGATCAAAAGAAGTCAGTCTCAAAGGATTACATACTGTATAATCCCATGTATATCACATTACATAAATGAAAACATTTTAAAAATGTTTAAGGCTGTTGGTCACCAGGGGTTGGGAGAGGGAGTGGGAAGAGGAGAGCAGGTGCGGTTACACTGGAGCAGCCTGGGGGTCCTGGGGGTGCTGCCCTGCTCAGCACCTTGTTCAGCATCAGCCAGCGGTCATGATCACACAGACCTACCCAGGTGGCAAAACAGTGCTGTGCACATTCCTTGGCTTGTGGCCCCTTCAAGGCCACTAATGGCAGGGTGAGTGCTTTTCTGCTTCCAGTCTCTGTGAAGTCCCTTCTGCCTCACCTCCCTTCTGTAACGCACACACAGAGAGAACAGGTGAAACCGAGAAGCATGAGTAAGGTAGGTGGAGCATGTCGATATCAGCATCCTGGCTGTGATACAGTCCAGTTGTCTGGTCAGATGTTACCCTGAGGGAAAACCGAGTGAAGGGTATAAGAGACCTCTTTGTATTATCTGTTACAAATGCATGTGAATCTATCATTATTCCAACCACAATTTCAATTTAAAAGGTGGCAGGTCACCCACATAGAATACAAACTTAAATTATTTAAAATTAAATAAAATTAAAAAGTCAAGTCTTCCATCTTGGTAGACACATTTCCAGTACTCAGGAGCTACACATGGTGGCTGCTGGGCTGGGCAGCACCAATCATTTTTCATCACTGCAAATCCTGCTGTTAGCCAGCAGTAGTCTGTACCTTTCTGGGATGTGGGTTACACAGTTGAATGCATTCGTCAAAACTCATGGAATGGTGAAGTTAAGACCTCCGCATTTCATTTGTAAATTTTACCTTTAAAAGTATCAAACTCAACACTACCTAGGCAAAAGTGTTTAGGGGTAAAGTATACTGATGTCTGCATCAAAGAATAGAATGAAAGAAGAAGAAAGAGGATAAAGAGGAAGAGGAGGAAAAGGAAGAAAAGAAAAAAGAGGGATGGAAAGATGGATTGATGTATGTTAAAGCAAATATAGCAAAATGTTAACTACAGAATTGAGATGATAGGTATACATGATGTCATTGTACAATTCTTTCAACTTTTCTATATCAAGGGAAAAAAACAACAGAGATCAAAATGTGACCCTGTGACCCCCACCCTACCACCACGGTCCTTCTTTTTCACCTGAGCCATATACAGTGACCTTGAGGCCTCCACTGGCCAAAGGAATAGAATCAGAGTCTTGTGATCACATCGGCACTACTTCTCCTCTGCCCAAGACCATAACCCTGTCCCCAGAATGCTAAATGACCACCTACTGCCCCTACCCTCCACATGCCCCTCGACACACACACATACGCACTGTCCTGGCTCCATTTGCTGCTGTGGTCCCTCGTGTCTTCTCCAGCCTTCTTGCAGAAGCCACATACCAATAGTCGCCACATCACTCATTCACTCAGTGAGCACTTAATGAGCACCTATGCTGTTCCAGACACTGTTCCAGGCACCGGAGATGCCTTGGCAAAGCTTCCCTGTGGCAGTTTACATTCATGCTAAGGGCAGTGTATTCGTTTTCTGTTGATGTCATACAGATTACCAGAAAATTCCCTGCTTAAAAGCAGCATAAATTTATCCTACAGAGTTGGTAGGTCAGTAGTGTGGGCACAGCACGGCTCAGCTGGCTCTCTGCCAAGTTTCACAGAGCCAAAGTCAAGGCATCAGCCAGGCTGCATTCCTTCCTACAGGCTCTGGGAGAGAATCCACGCCCAAGTTCTTTCAGGTTCTTGACCGAATGCAGGTCCTTTTTTGTGGGACTGAGGTTCTTGTGTCCTTGCTGGCAATCACCAGTGGGGTGAGGGGACACTCAGATCCTGGAGGCCATGCACATTCCTTGGCTTGTGGCCCCCTTCAAAGCCACTAATGGCAAGGTGAGTGCTTTTCTTGCTTCCAGTCTCTGTGAAGTCCCTTCTGCCTCATCTCCCTTCTGCCTCCTCTTCTCCCCCCCACCGCCAACTCCAGCCAGAGAGCTGCCTCCACTCATGTGGGCTCATAGAATTGCACCAGGCCCACCCACAAGATGCAAGATCAATGCCCGATTTTACAATCAGCTGGTTATTCACCTTAATCCCATCTGCAAATTCCTTCACAGCAGTGCCAGATTCGAGTGTGAGCTGAAAGGCCTCGGGAATCTTGGCAGGATGTCTTCACCATTCTGTCGCCCATAGGGAAACAAACAGTAAACCCCAGAACAATCGCAGACTTCCCAGAGGGGTTTAAGGCGACAGTCACTTTGTGGGACTTCACCTCCTACTAGATTCTAAGTCAGAATGAAGCCTTTTTTGGGCCATATGTCCCAGTGAGACCTGGTGCCTGGCTCTGGGCTCTGAGAAAGCTAACACTACAGATTCCACATAAATGACATAGTGTCCAGCACATGAGGTTCATTTTGGTAGATTGAAAGCATTCAACACACTACGCCGGATTCATTTTGATCAGGGGCGAGCAGCTCCTAATCACCTTTATTCTATTTTCAGACTCTTGGTTTAAGGGTGTTTTGATAAAGGACAGTGTCAGCTGGAGTCAATGCTTGGCAGTCTCGGTGCTGGGGAAACTGGCGGTGCCAGCCCAGAGTTGGTGATCTAGGTACACGCTTACTCCACTGCTTAATACTCCTCTCAGTTGGGCTGAGAGAGGAAGTTTTTAAAAACAGAGTCATTTAAAACAGGTATGCTCAAGGGCTCAAACCCTCTACAGGCCAATGTGGGAATGGCCTCGTGACTCAGATGATGAGTCCTTCTGCCCTTCACCACACCTGCTCCCAGCCCAGAAGGGTGTCGCTGAGGCTGATCACTCACCTGCCTACCCCTCAAGGCCCTGGAGGACTTCCGGCAGTTTCCAAAATTCAAATCCAAGCTCAAAAGGACTCTGTGACATTGTGAGGTCAGTGGAAAGGGATATTTAAAAGGCTATGCCATGGGGCAGTGACAGGCATTTTGGAAGAGAATTGTAGGAATCTGTTAAGCAATAGTGCAGCACGGTGTAAGGAGGAAACTCACTCATTGTACAAATACTTATTTAAACATAATGGGAAAAAATCTGTTCACTGAACGCATTTAACTCATCGAGGCAATCACTCTAAAGCATAACACGTTTATGCATCAATGGTTTTCTGTTTATTGGTTTGGTTTTTAGGTCACATTACTTGGGCTAATTAGTATTAAGTTTGACGATGAATGACAGAACACAGTGCCCCAACAAATACTGGCTTACATTTATTACTCTTTTGTAAAAGTTTGGGGATCCAGGCCTTTTTGGCCTGCTAGTGTGAGGGACTCAGGCTTCTTCCAACACAGCGTTCCACTGTGGACGGCTCCCTTCCCAAGCTCTGCAGACAGTCCCCCTTCAGGTCTGTAGCAGCCTGCAGGAAGAGGGAGGAGAGGCAGAGGAGGGCGCACCCGCTGTCTGCAGAATTCTTCAGAACTTGCACGACCACCTCCGCTGCCACTACATGAATCCCATTGGCCAGAACTTAGTCACCTGGTCACAGCTAGGTCAAGGAAGGCTGAGAAATGCAGTGTACATTTGGGAAAGCCAGAGCCCTGGCTAAATTCAGAGTTTTATATCTCATGAATAAGGAAAGAAGAGATCATGGGAGCGGGTGGGGAGATAGCAGTTTCTGCTATAGTCCACTCCTTTGGCCACCCACAGACCTATGTGAGCCTTTCTTCCCACACACAGAATACACTCATCCCCTGCCCCCAAGAGATACATCTGCAAAATTCCATCCAATCACTGCATCTGACTCTAGATCCGGCAACCCAGGGTAAAGCATAGTCCTTTCTCTGAGATATGAATGAGGATTTTAATAGTTTGACAAACTACAAACTAAGTAATAAGTTACTTGTTCTCAATACCTCCAACATAAGGGAGATGAGTGAGCACAGAAGAGCTGTGATTAAAACTCCCACGTGGCAGTTGGAGGCTGATGAACACAGCCCTCACCATCCACACACATAAGCAAATCCCGGTGGGCAGGAAGAGTGGAGTCTCCTTCTGTAGCATCACCCGCCATGGCCATTGGCCTTGTGTTCTCAGAGGCTCTTCCCTACTATTATCTCCACTGCTGCACCCAGTGTGGGGGGCAGAGGGTATGCCCTTCCTGAGGCTACACAGAGTTCTCAGTTTGCTTCTTGTTTTGAAGGTTGGTGGTTCCAACCCCTCAAAGGAATCACTTTGGGGTTAAACAATCACAAGCTTTTGCAGACCAAGCTGCTGGTTTCTTTGGTGAAACAGTTTTTCAAAAACATAAAGACTTCAGATCTACTTGTTTCCAGTGAGCTCTGCTGTGAAGACACGTTTTTAATGCTGAAACTTCTGTTTTTTTCCTTATGGGCCTCCATGCTCTGCTGATATTTTTTTTGTCTCTCTCTCTCAGCATAATGGTACTCACCTGGAGCCATGGGATGCAAGGGCTTGGCTGGGAAGACAAAACCCTTAAAATGACTTTTGACACAAGGTTCCAAATTTGCTGGGATGGGGCACTAGTTTTATCTTCTGCTAAGCAGACTGCTTTGCAGAAATCATTTCTACGACTGATATAGTTGGCAAAACACGGCAGTTGTTTTGTCAATCCCGCAAGGCTCCAAATTACCAAGCTCTCGGTCAACTTAAATTGCAGACTGCAGGTAGAGTGTCTCCATTAGCACACTGTGTTTCCTTTCATTCTTGCTCAGGGACTGGCCCGCAGTAGCCAAAGTCCAGCTCTCTCTTGTAGAATGTTGCTAAAAGCAGCGAGAAGCAGCTAATGCTTTTTTTTTTTTACATTATAAATTTCTCCTGCCATTTCCTGCCTCAGTCCCTGTTCAGGACATGGATTGCTTTTCAAAAAACAATGGGCAGTGGTTTTTATCAAATGCTTTGTTTCTGCATAACAAGGGTCACTGGCTCTCTAGCTCACAATATTTGAGCACCTGCCACCTGAACACATCCATTAAGCCAACGCCACGTGCTTCAGTTCTGCTACTTGTAGCTCACTTCTCTTGGTCTCTATTTTGTATCAGTTAAGATGAGACCTGGCCATGAATGACAGAAAATCCAAAAGAGCGCTGGCTTAAACACGACACATTTAATTCTCCCTCACTTTGAGTCTAGAGGAAGGTAGTTCAGGAGCGGAGTGGGGCTCCCTGGTGCGCAGGCACCTCTGCCTCTTCTATGCTGCGCCACACTGTGTATCAGCTCTGATGGCCGTGACCAGGATGGCTGCTCCACCTCCAGCCATCACATTCTAATTCCAGGCAGTAGAAGAGGAGGGAGAGGAGACAGACACATCACCATCCTCTTCACGGACACTTCCTGGAAGTGGCCTCTCATTGGCCAGAATTTAGTCACACAGCCATGCCCAGCTGAAATGGAGGATGGGAAATGTTGCTGCCATTCTGCCTGACAAGTGCACAGCAAGAACTCAGGGTTCTTTGACCAGTAAAGAAGAGGTCACACATTTTAGGGCAATCAGCAGTCTCTACAGTCTCATACTTGCATAAAATTTCAGCAGTAGAATGCTTGTGTTGGGAAAAGTGAAAGGACTGTTTTCGTTGCTCCAGAATTCTTTATTCTTCTCCTTCTTCATAGCAGATTTGTTTGGCCTTTGACACACACATTTCAGAGAAGACAATGACTAGACAAGGATTGCGGGCTCTGCCACACAGAAAAACTCTCTGATGAGGGGAAGCCATCTTAGAAACACCCTCTATCGGGCACTGCCTTGATACCCTTGACGGCTGCCACAGGTCATCTTTGAGGGGACCGTTGCTATGTCTACTTCATAGAAACATAAAATGAGGTCTCCTTGGTCAGTGTTTCACTTGGGAAAAGGAAAGTTTTAACAACTGAGGTATCTACTGTGTTTAGTAAATCATGAAAGAAAGCACAACGAACATCTTAGATGAAAAGCTCCACAAAACCAATCAGATCGTTATTGCACATAAAAACCAAAATTGATGAAATACAAAATAAATATTTAACTTCTCAGACTGCAGCTATCTTTGGATTGCTAAGTAATTTGGAGGCCAATGTTCATAATAAAATCACATTTTCTCTGAAGATATTTACTATTTCTGTTTATTGCCTTATTCATGGCCATTAGCAAGAATTAGTTTAATTCATGAGTATATGTGAATTCCAGTACAAGCTAAGAATTGTCACCAAAACCTCCTGGTGCTGATGTTTCTAATGGAGAATGAACTTGTGAGGAGGACCAGCAGACACCCAGGAATGTTTCCTGCAGACATCAGTTGGGGAAGGTGACAATATATAATATAGACTTACATGTAAAGGGAAAGGCGGAAGTATTCCATGCCAGGGATACTTCATAAAGATGCCAACATGGCCATTTTTTTCACTGGACACTATAATTCCAAGACTGAAGGCCTATGAAAACAGTCAGGATCTGAATATACATACGTGTGTGTGTGTGTGTGTGTGTGTGTGTGTGTGTGTGTGTGTGTTTACAAATATAGATATCAGCTTCAAAATACACAAAGAAGACAGCAACTAAAAATTCATAAATGTCTAACTAAATATCTACAAAATATGACATTTTGTCACCTCATTAATTGTTAAATTTGTTGTTCATGAGTATTGAATGAATATTTTATTACAATTGAAAACAATTTGTCAGAGAGCATCTCATAATGCAGGAATTCACAAATAAGCAAAACTGCTGACATTTTATAGCCAGTAATAAGTTAAATCAGTTACCCATAGTCAAAAGCAAATTTATTTAAAATCTTTCAAAATTTGTATGGCAATGTGTTCATTTTTAATGCAAGGTATGAATACATCTTAAGATGTTTGATATGATGTAGAGTTTCTAAATAGAATGCCCCAGAGAAGGAGTCAAGCACACTTTTTCTGTGAAGAGCCAGAAAGTAAATATGTAGGCTTTGTGGGCTGTGGGGTCTCTGTTGCAATTACTCAGCTCTGCTGCTGGAACACAAAAGGAGCCATAGATAATACCTAACCAAATGAGCATGGTTGTGTGCCAATAAAACTTTATTTATAAGAACAGACAGTGTGCTATATTTGACCCATGGTAGTAAAGCAAATCTGGAAGGTCTAATAACCACCTATTGCCCTTGCCAACAATTCAAACTCAAAAGTATATGTTTCTGGGAGTGACATCAGCAAGATGGCTGACTAGAGATGTCTGGTGCTCCCCCAGACCCTCACCAAGAAAGAATCATGGCAACAAATAAACAACTAAGCTTTAACTGAAGTGTTGAAAAGAGCTGTCATGCAGCAGGGGAGTGGAGAAGGACCTGTGACGGCTAGAAGCCCAGGAGGGCAGCGTGGAGGCACCGTGCATCTGCATTCCGTCTCCCCTGCCTGGATCAGGTCAGCCCAGAGACAGGAGGGACTTTCCACGGCAGGAAAAAGGTAAGCAGAAGATCC